TAAGATTAGAAATATGGAAATGCTACTCAATTAAGAAATTGAATATAATTAGAAATTTGACAATCTCATCCATATTTCTAAATGTTTATGTTTACAAGTTGCCCAAAAATCTATTATAATTTTTTTCTCTTCTCATTGGGAAAGTGAAGCTCTCCTTAAGTTTATGCATTGCGATTAGCATTTATTCAACCTCTTATACTCCAAGACTTTTTTTCAGTTGTAAAGCAAACTTATATTTTTAAAAAATAAAATGTTACTATGAATTTACTTATAAATTATTAAGTATTTCTAACATTGTTATCTTCTTTCTAGACGTCCTCTCCCAACTTGTTCTGGTGGTATTGGCATGGGAATTGTGCTCACTAAATGAGTCAGTCAAAATAGACTTGTTCATTTGAGGGGACAATTTTTATTTGTTATCTCTCTATTGATTTCTGTTGCTATAAGTGAAGTTACACCAGGTAAACGAGACTGTATGCATGACAGATGATTTATGAAATCCAAGTATTGTTTTAATGGTAATTATATTGATTTCGGCAACATTTTGACCAATGAAATACCATTCGACCTGCTATACTGTGAATAAGTCTTAAGATGCACATCCGTTGTGAGTAATATATTAAAGATTGTTAGGCAAAAAATAAACCCTAAGGAAGTTTTTAAAAATGTTAAGATGTTGATGTTGGCAGTAGAACAAACTCATTGGAAGGAAAAAAAACAGCTTAATCTAGTTAATTAACAACAAAACAGCTGGGAAAATGAAACATCCCTGGTTGTGATTGACTGTAATTGAAAATAACTAATGATGCTGTCATTTTGCAGCTCATATCTGAGGAAATGATGCCTGGAAGATTATAATTGCCCTCTTGACCATTTGTCTACAGCAATTATTTTGTGTTAAAGGTTGGGATGGAACCCTTTGGCCAAACACAGAAAGGTCCTCACACCTTTTTCTGTTACATTGAAAAATAATTCAAGAGCAGTAAGTAAAATTAGGTTATGTAAGTAACATTTTTTGATAATATAAAAAGTTAGCAAAGCAAACCAGCTGGCTTCATTTTATCACTTTAGAAAGTAATCAAGACATTTAAAATTCCATTAACGCTCTCAGTTCTAATACATGGCAGGTGATGTAAGCGTTGAATGTATATGAACACATTTTTAAAAGTTAACTGAAAGTGTAGTTTTCTAACTTAAGTTAAAAATGAGTATGAATACAAGAAAATGGCACCTAAATGCTTAAGTTCAAGACAGTTAAAAATACAATTTTATAATAAAAACCAAACAACAAATGGCTTATTTCTTTTGTAGTTTATACTGTTGTTACTGATAGCAGTAGTTTTTGTTGCTTTTAAACTGCTAAATGGGGTGCTATTGAGGACCTCATTATTACTCTATGGAAAAATGGAACACATTAAAAACTATTTCATCTATGGCATTAATGTAATACATTACACCAAAACTATAACTTTAGCAAAATTTTAAACAATTTATATAACTCATATATTCAGTCTTCAATAATTTCTGAAGTTAAGATGAAGAAATAACATACAAATAAATAAAAGTATGTGTGTAGAGGGGGAGAGAGAGAGGGAGACAGAGAGAGAAGAGAGAGAGAGGGGGAGAGAAGGAGAGAGAGAAAAAGAGAGAGAGAGTTGAAGTGTTAAACAAAGATGGAGAGGTATTTGATCATATGATCCTAAGATTTTTCCAGTTATTTTGCAGCAGAGATTAGTACTACATATATGTCATTAGTAGTATTATTTCATAATTTTGACCTTTTACAGGAATTCGTCAAAGAAAATAAAGAAGTTGGTTAGTCAGAGATTTCAAAAAAGAAACCAGAAATATACCATCTTTGAAAATAAAAGAAATCTTAAAGAAGTTGATGAAGTGAAGGAAAGACTAAAGAGGAAAGAAACTGAACAGGGATTAACCCAGCTTCCAATCAGAACACAGCTTGGGAGGTGAGCGTAGGAGCTGAACAGACAGGCTGTCTGATGCAGAATGCAGAGGTGCCAATAGACAAGTCAATTTCCTAAGAAACAGAATAATTCCCTGATGTGTCTTTAATTAGAATGTCTGCAAGCGGTGGACATACTAATTATCCATTTAAATACTGGATCTTACATATACATCATGAGAGATTTTCATTTTCTTTTTAAAGAATATCATTTTCTTCATAATTATTACAGTTTCCAAATGCACCCGCCCCCAAAACAAAACAGAAACACAATTCTCTCATGAAAATGTGCTGCAGGCTACTCAGACTCGTTTCCTCTTCTATTAAGAGGTAACAAGACCCAGAGTGAAGAAGAGGCATAAGAAATAGGACACATTTTAAATTTTGATATATGGACTCAAAGTTGAAAAAGGCTTTGTTCACTTTCTGTCAGAGCAATGGAGCGTCCTTCAGAAAAATCACTCTAACCTTTAAAAATAAATTTTTGATCCATGTAGAGATTTAAACAGCCCTCACAGTTTTCTACCTTGTATTGCTGGGTGTCATGTTCAAAACTGTGAGGTCATTTTTTGAGCCTCTAGTTGTTTCAGGCTACCACAAACCCCAGCTAATCTTCAGATGTTTCCAAGGTCATGGTCCATAGCAAAAGTTTTGCATGAGTCAACTATTTTTTTACACCCCATAATTTCCAAATCGGTCTTGCATTTTTGCCCCTATCAACTTGATATCTATATCTATATCTATATCTATATCTATATATTTTGAAATGGAGTTTTGCTCGTGTAGCCCAGGCTGGAGTGCAACGGCGTGGTCTCGGTTCACTGCAACTTCTGCCTCTTGGGTTCAAGCAATTCTCTTGCCTCAGCCTCCCAAGTAGCTGGGATTACAGGCGCCTGCCACCACAGCGGGCTCATTTTCGTATTTTTAGTAGAGAGAGGGTTTCGCCATGTTGGCCAGGCTGGTCTCGAACTCCTGACCTCAGGTGATCTGCCTGCCTTGGCCTCGCAAAGTGCTGGGATTATAGGCATGAGCCACCATGCCCAGCCAACTTGATATGCTGATTCTTCTCCAAATCCAAGGGAAAAATGGGAAAACAGGAATAAAATTTCCCTTAAGTTCAGCTTCTCCCAATGTGCCAAATTGAGAGAAAATGGGGAAGCAGGCAAGGAGAAAAAAAAAAAAAGAAGGAAGGAAAGCACAGTGCTGTCTGCTACAAAAATGGTTTTAAGGGTTGTGAAAGAGAAGGAAAGCAACAGCTCCTGGTTCGTTCTTTTTATTCCAGAAAAGTAATTCTCCTTTTACATCACTAATGCATTAGCAGGAAGCAGATATGCTCAGGCATGGCAGATCCCAGTTCTTATCTCCAAGTGGCCCAGTAGTTGAGTGTGTGGGTGGAGGTGTGATAAGTTAGTATCAAGTATTTGGATTGTTTTGTACGTAATGAAAGCAAAAATTGTCTCACTGGCTTTTAATTAAGATCTCTCTCTCTCTCTTTTACAAAGGCACAAAAGTAAAAGCCAAATTACTTGTACCTTTGTGATCTCTAACAATTAGTGACAAACCTTAATTCATAGTCATACACCATAAGGCATAAAGTCTTTGAGGATCAACAAAGAGTAGACAGAAATGTACGCAATTGTCCATTTGTGCATTTCATGGCTTGCTACAATGAAAGTCACCCTGTTAACTGCTCTGGGGGCTGGCTTTCTTCAGAACATCAACAGAAACCCTGAAATTTGCTGCTTTCAGGACTTTCTCTAGCTCTTCGAATTAAATACTGAGCACATTGTTAGTTTTGTTAGTTTATGAAAAATGATTATACTGGGCTTGAACTGGATACAAATTACTTTTCTAGATTTTTGGAGTGGTTGCAATATATTCCTGAATAAATGTATGTTGATATCCACAGAGAAACCTGTGATTTTCAGTGTCTGGTGTTTGGACATTAAGCTCAGGTGCAAACTTCAACTTTACCTAAGGAAAAGTCTCTTGTAAGCTATAAGGAAAACAAACAATCTTCTAGAAATTAAGCTTGGGCCAAGTACAAGGGAAACTATGCAGTGACCTTAGAGACAGAATCTAAGTCATGGTAATGTTGTTTGCAAGGACAAACTGGTTCTGTATAATGAGGTTATTGACCTGTACTGTTTTCAAGCAGTTTTAAACATGAGGGCGAGGTTCATTGTATCCAAGCCTGCAACATTCACTGAGAAACCAAGACTGATCAATAAACAACCACAATTACAGGATCTCAGGAACCTTCATCATAATGGGAACCATTATAATTTCGGTCAGGTACAGAGAATCAGGTAACCTATTGCTAACGTGTATTTAGCACTGGTCTCTCATTTGCAAATGGAAGCCATTGATTAGCTATTTTTTGAAAACTGACCTGGCTTTCCATCTCCCTCCTTATGTAATAGCCTGTGAATAAATGTGACCTAGACTTCAACATGCATATGGAGAAGAAAACAAAATAGAAAGCTTTATCCCAGGCCAGCTTTTTGCCAAAGAAATAAGCAATTACATGACATTTCACTAAAAATTCTTGACCCAATGAAATACTGAAGCCTCAATGCCGATTTTCCTCTTTTATAAGAAAGAGCAACAAAGGAAAGAAAGGTCACAGACCATATTGTGATTCTTTACAGCTGTTGGAGACAGACACTATGATACAGTAGCTTGATTTGAATTAAACCAAACAATATGAAAAGCATCAAGGCTGGCAAGCAAAGCAATAAAGCCCCAAAGAATTTAATCTACCTTGAAGGTGGGACTACTTTTGTATTGATGGCAGCACACCAGGACAGAAATGAGTTCTTTAATGCAATGACTCATTAACAGCCTTAAGATCACAATATATAAATAGGATATGCTGATCAAAAAGACAGCTTTGCCTCTGCTATTACAGTATGGCCAGTATTTCCTTACAAGTTATTTCATTGATTATAAATAGTCCACGTCAATGGCAAATGTACAACAGGGGAAGCATAACCCATTATGAGGTAATGGATATAGCTAGAGGTTGCTTCATTACCTTCACTGGCTGAGTGGCTGGTTTTTCCTTGTACAAACACTGCCCTTTAGACAAAATCCCTTCCACATCCGGTTGTTTAGCTTGAACTGCGATTTCAGTTTCCTGGGGAAAAGAACCCATAGAGTGCAGATTAACTTCACAGTTAGCAATAAAATTACTAAATTTAAATATACCCTTGGAGACACCACATGTATTGCAGATCAATTTCTGCTGGGTACATAAGGGCACAAAAATGTAGCTTTTGATGCAGAGAAAAGAAACAAAGATGTGAAACAAAGTAAAGTTAAAAAAATTCATCCAATATCTTCTTGAATTATATAATAATACTCATAGAGAAACACAGGCATTAACTTTCCACTTTTCAAAAAAGTAAAATGCAATAATGACAGTACAATTAACATAACTTATATGAATAAACACTAGTTTTAGCTTTAATAATCTCAATAATCCTAATGTTCATATGACTTTATACACTTATTGTTTTACAAAATTCTGTTTTGAGTATTGGATATAAATTTTGTTTTGAAATAAATATCAAATAATTATTTCTACATCACTGTCAAAATTATTTTCTTTCCAAAGGGTAAACACTTAAAGTACAGTATCAAAGCTTATTATTTATTAATGAGTCAAATAGGCCTTTCGAAGAATGATTTTTTTTTTTTGTACTATTTGCTTTTCTTCAGTCTGGAGAAGGCTGAAGCATGACAAAAAAATCCTTTAGGTATATGAATATAAGCATTTTGTTACTATCTGCTGCCTAGCTCTCTTGACAAGAGGACAAAAGAAATGTGCAGAAATTGAAGCTGACGGAAGTGAAGTTAAATATTACAGAAGACTTTTTGGATGGAACACTTGTTAAACACTAGGATAGAGCATCAATTAATCAATGTCAGGCATCAGTCAGGGCCTGGACAATCTTCCCCAGAGAGCAGCTCCTGATTAACCCACATCTCTCTTCCTCCCTCTCCTATCCCGGAGCCTCCCAGCACTGCTGTGTGTAAGTGTCTTCATGCCACTGTTTCCTTTGTATACTGTGTTTGTACCTGTTCCCTCTCAGTTCATCAGTAGGAAATCCCAAATTACTATAATCTCAAACTGCCCAGTATGTTGTCTTGCAACTTATGGGTGCTCAGCACAAACTCTTGAGATAGACTATTTTTTCTCCAGTTCTTATTATAATAAATACCAGTGGCAAACAGGCACTTTGGTCAAAATTGTATATAACTAACCTCATGTGTTAATGGTTATGTATGCAAATTTCAGTTCCTTTATAACAGGAGTTTAACTACTTTACATGTAGAACTACTAATTGATGGTCTTACTGCCCCTTGTCAAGAAAACACATTGTTCCCTGAAAATGCAGCACCTGGAATGACTGTATGTCTTTGCTAGAGGTAGAAATAGCTCTGATCTCAGATCAGAAAATCTAGTTTTACTTACTGAATTCTGAATAGGTCCCCAGCCACTATAAATTCACCCTTGAATACCCCATTTGTAAAAAAAACATTTTGGTGTAGTAAATGGTTATATGGTCTCAAAATACTTTAAAAGAAAATAAAATATATTATTCTAAGGAAGTAGACAAAAGAGCATATCTTCCCCAAGGTAAAAATGATTTAAGAAAAGGAAAAAAAAGTAACTGAATTTTCAACCTATACATTTATCATTTATGTATACCATAAAGTACCAAGCCAAATCCATGTACAATGTCTAAATTATACATTTGAAATTATATATGCATTACACATATAAACTGATGAGTTAACTTAAAGCACTGTCACCACCATTCATTTTGTATGTGTTTCTCTTAAGACAAACCACTATTTTCTATTTATTCACTGACAGCTGGGACTTTTCTTGTGATATTTATTGATATTGCTAATTACTGGTAATGGACAATGTTTTCTGATTAGCTTCACCATAGCTGTAGACTATATTATTGATGATAGCATAGTTACCATTTGTATAATGAGTACTATTTCCCTTCCCCAACCCTGATTCAAACAGATTGCCAATTTACAGATAAGAAAATGAATCAAGGGTGGATGGGATAGTAGTGATGGTAGTGACAATGATGTGAATAGCTTGCCCACAACCTCGTGGGATGTAGAACAGTTAATATTCAAACATGGCTAGGTCTGAATCCAAAGTTTATGCTATTGGCAGTAGTAACAGCTACTTCTTCGTATCTTACAACAACTTAATAACATATCTAAATGACTTGATCAAATTATGTGATTTCTAAGCATTAAGAATTTTACTTTCACCATCTGAATCTGACATTATCACGTATGCTGAAAAACATGTCCTACCTCTCTGATAATAGAGAATCACTATGGGTCAGAGGGAGACACGCAACTTCATGCAACGGTAGTCATTCCCATTCATTGGAATTTTTGACAAATGATAGCAAAGACCATTGTTCCCACTGCCAACCTACAGTCTTATTTAAACTGTTCCAATTCCTTTGCTTCCTCCTTCAAAACACATCACAATTAGTCAAACTATGTGTTTATGTATAGTGTTGACCATTCCTAAAGAATTATCCTCTATAAGAGTAAGGCCCATAACTACCTTGTTCACTCACATCCCTGGAAGTGCCTAACACATAGTAGATGCCAAACAAAAAATTGTTGAATGGGCAAATAAATACTGTTGCAACTTTGAGCCTATGGGAATTGAGTTAGAGTGTGTATTACTAGAGACATTTGTTCATGCAGACAGTCGAAAGGTTCATGGCACAGATTATTTTCTTTCTAAATAATCTGCTAGAGTTAAATACATAGTCTACTTTTCTACTTTTGGATTTCCTTTAGCGATTTTTTGGGAAATTTTACATCTTCATGTTATTGATTACAACAATGTCTCAGAAAACCCATTTCTATGAAAAATTAAAATGGGATTATTTTATACTTAATTAATCCTTTCATTGACTTCCTTTAAACTAAAATTCCATTTATTCCATATTTTTCTTCTTAGCTGAATTTGGATAATTTAATCTCCATCTAGCAAACCAAGGGAAAATCATAAATACAAATGTTTTAGCATTTATATTATTTAGCATGAATATTTTACATAACCAACATCTGAATGTGGGACCGCTAATCAGACACTTTATAACTATTGCACTTGAAGCATAGTAAACATTTATTAGTTTTCATCTGTAATTTCAGTAGAAGAGTAAACTTGGAAGGGTTGGAGGATCATACTTCCTATACAAAACTAAAAACTTCTATGAGTATTAAAACCTGTGCTGTCCTAGCGTGGAAAAGCTCATCTTTCCTTTCAAACACTCCCACTTCACTTTTCTTTTTCACTCATCAAACACAGGAAGTCAATATTCTCCTCAGATTCCCTTAAATTTAACGTGTCCCTCTGTCCCCCAATACATATAATTTGTATTTGATACACTTGATGCAACTTTTGCTTTTCATAGTATTTATATGTTAAAACCTTTTGCACTGAACACCAAACTTCATATATTATTCCAACCTTTAAAAAAGATTTATATTTCTAAAAATGGAGTCTGTATTCAAAAAATAGCTGCTGTATCATCTATTCAATATATTTATCAAATGATTTGGAGGGCCCACCATAAAGATTGGGATACAGCACTAGAAAATTTTCAATTTACAATATGAATATATGTGTGTGATATACATGTATATACATATATATGTGTATTAGGTATAACATATACACATATCAACATATAGGTATAATATGCACATATACACATATGCATATATGTGAATGGATATTTAGGCACATGTATGTATATGTACAGGTGTACCTCATTTTACTGAGTTTTGCCTTATTGGCTCTGCAGATACTGCAGTTTTTACAAACTGAAGGTTTGTAGCAACCCTGCATCAAGCAAGTCTATCAGCAACATTTCCAACACCATGTGCTTACTTCATGTCTCTGTGTCACATTTTGATAATTCTCACAATATTGCAAGCTTTTTCAATATTTTTATAACTGTTATGGTGACGGATAATCGGTAATCTTTGATGTTACTATTTTAATAGTTTTGGGGTGCCACAAACAGTGCCCATATAGGATGGCAAACTTAATCCATTAATGTATGTATTCTGAACTCTCCACTGACCAGTCAGTCATTCCCTTACCTCTCTTCCTCTCCTTGGGCCTCCCTATTCTGAGACATAACAATATTGAAATTATGCCAGTTAATAACTGTACTATGACCTCTAAGTGTTCAAGGGAAAATAAGAGTTGCATGCCTCTCACTTTAAATCAAAAGCTAGAAATGATTAAACTTGGTGAGGAAGGCATGTCAAAAGCCAAGAGAGGCTGGAAGCTAGGCCTCTTGTGCCTGTTAGCTAAGTTGTGAATGCAAAGGAAAAATTCTTGAAGAAAATTAAAAGTGCTAGTCTAGTAAACATGCAAATGATAACAAAGCAGAACAGCCTTATTGTTAATATGGAGAATGCCTTAGTGGTCTGGACAGAAGTTCAAAACAGCCACAACATTCTCTTAAGCCAAAGCCTAATCCAGAGCAAGGCTCAATTCTGTTCAGTTGTATGAATGCTGAGAGAGGTGAGGAAATTGTAGAAGTTGGAAGCCAGCAGAGGTTTGTTCATGAGGCTTTAGGACGAAACCCTCTCCATAACATAAAAGTGCAAGGTGGAGCAACAAGTGCTGATGGAGAAGCTGCAGCAAACTATCCAGAAGATCAAGTTAATATCTAAGATGATGAAGGTAGCTACACTAAACAACAGATTTTCAGTGTAGATGAAGCAGTCTTCTATTGGAAAAAGATGCCATCTAGGACTTTCATTGACTAGCTAGAGAGAAGTCAATGCCTGGCTTCGAAAGTTCAAAGGACAGGCTGACTCTCTTGTGAGGGGCTAATGCAATAGGTGACTTTCAATTAAAGCCAATGCTGATTTACCATTCCAAAAATTCTAGGGCCCTTACAATTATGCTAATAGACTCTGCCTGTGCTCTATAAAGGGAACAACAAAGCCTGGATGATAGCACATCGCTTTACAGCATGGTTTACTGAATATTTTAAGCCCATTGGCCATACCTATTGCACAGAAGAAACAATCTCTTTCAATATATTACTGCTTGTT